TCGATGCATTGATAATATAAATAAATGCATCAGAAACAACATGCATGAATTACCCTTATATACGGTCGCTATAGCCACTTCGAAACCTCATATGCGATGCCGTTTTCTAATGGTGAGCAACGATTTGGATTTACTCAGTGATATATCATATGAACGTTGACCTCGGTATTGTTTCGTTCATCCGTCGAACGAGCTCAATAAGAGTATCATAGTCAGTGCTCTCGTGTGGACGTATTTCGTGTTGCGCTTATCATCGCTATTGCTGTCTCTACATAGAAATGTCTTTTCTATTATAAGGAGCTCACGGTCTCGATTTGTGACTCATACAATGGCTATAATCAGGCTTTGGTTCATAATTTATGAATGTGAAATGTCTGGTTCAGGCCTTCCTATCGGAGAGAAACTGCGGCGAAATCTACGAAGGTGGAGGACAAGCAAGACTGTAAGAAGGTGCGCCGTCGAAATAAAGGTAAAAGTCCTGTATGTTTTGGCGGGAAAATTTCTTGTAGCAAGCTGATCACACTTTCTGGCACGAGGAGAATACAATAAATAAGTATACTTGACGGTGTTTTATTCGTATTTTTTCTTTCGCTGGAAAAATGCACATTCGAAAATAGTGCGTTTTACTATGCGCGTGCGTGCTAGTAAGGATAGAAAATGGATAAACTGATTACCATGGGTATTTAGATCTGACAGGATAACAGTGGTGAGCTATTGAGTAGTGAAAGAGTTTGTTGAACATAATAAAACTCAACGCTCTCCTCGCCCCCTCTCCAATGTTGGGATTTCTAGCACTTAATACTTGTATCTAGAGCCAACGTCGGGGGGCGCGCGGCTGAGTCATTTTTTAAGATTGACTGAAGTCCCCTTCGTAAAATATTGTTGTATGATGGTTAGGGGTAGTCGTATCTTCGGCGGTACCCAGAGTAGCGACGGCGATGGAGGGATCGCTCGTTGGTGACACGGCGAATATTATCAATAAGGAAGAGGTAGGGACCTTGTTGGTGACACGCTGGGTGAGGGATGGCTTCCAGGGGTCTGCCTATGGCTCTCAGTAGAGTCGTTAGTGCTGAGCTCTGGTTCGTACTATCTCTATTCCGATGGTCAACACCAGTGCGCTTAGGAAGCCTAGAGATATCTTGTTCGGTTTTCCCGGAAAGTTTCCTATTCATTTCTTCGTCGAAGTAGTAGATGTTCATGATTTCATGGACTACTGAGTTGTCGTACTCCAGAACTCAACAAAGATACTATCGTTAGTGGATAGAAGAAACTATAAGGTTACAGCGAGTTGTGTGAGGAGCTGAGCAATAATGAATACGACAGAATAGGGACAATTATTGTGTTGCAACAGTGGCACATCGCATAAGTGGTCGCTAGTACATATGCTATACTCGATGTTCAGGAAAAATCATCATCATCTTTAGCAGAATTCATCGATGATGCTCGGACCCGCATCAGTAGGTGTCGACATGAGGTTGGTGTGGCGCGTCAAAGGGCCTTTGGTTTTACAAGTAGTATCATCCTTGTCGTTGCTCTGAGTCGCCATTAGACATGACTAGGTTCGATTGATGTACCTACGATGTCGGCATGGAGTGGTATGAAGTATCGAATTGAGCTCTTACGTATATTTCTGCCACTATTACGGACACTCAGAGATGAAATACAGGCGAACGCTATGGAGGAGGTAATTTTCTGAGAAATTGTGAGGAATTGGGGTGAAAACTGTGGTGAAACATAGTAAAAATATTCGTTTGGAAACTTATATTCAGCGCTGATCGACTTTTATGAATGCGGCTATATCATGACGGGGCTACGGGAGTGGAGGCTCGATCGAGGACCTTCGCCGCATGATTGTTATGCTGGTCGGTAGGATTGGCAAACAGTAGGCTCAACACGTGCGAACAGTGTTGAAAAATATGTCCGCTTTCATAGGTGAGTGCAGAAGTTTCCTCAGTAATCATGCGAATTCGGGAAGAAGTGTACTAGGACCAATCATAATTTCACAAAATTTTCTCAGAATTTTCACATTCTCCCCAACACATGTAGTTGACGATATGCATATCTTCCCACACTGCGTGAGAAAGGCCTCCCCTCGAAATCCATACAAGCCGTGCATAGCAGGGCGATATGCATAAGAAGATAAGTTGCCGTAGAGGTATATACAGGCTTGTTGCTGACCATCTCGGTGATTTAATCAGGTGAACATGGCAAGATTGAGCTCGTGGGTGAAAATACTATCTTGTATTTGGTACGTGCGGCATGCAGCTCGACTGACTGTATGGATTCCTACGGGCGAAGGTGTCTCCCTGGGAGTTCCTCTGGGGTGCGTGAAAGTCATGTCAGATATCGTGCATGGTGAGGATGATAATGGTGATGAAGCGCATAGCATTATTGGACAATTAACTGCTTCTAATGGGGGGTAATTGGATATCAACTATTGTCTCTAGTTGTTAATCAAATCATTTGAGATCCGACGTAGGAGTAGATGCGAAATAGCTGTGAGGAGTTTGGTTGAGACTTATATTCCTGTTTTGAGAGAAGACGTTATCCAGGGTTTGGTAACAGTGGGGGAATATGCTACTAGTGTGAAGATATTTACATGGGAAACTGATTGAAGAATGCGCCCCTAGTCATGTGGAGAATGCAAAAGTTCGAGTTCCTCCTGGGAACATTATAGGTGAGGATTCCCAAGATGAGACTCTCACCATCCAGTGGAATAAGTCTCGTATGGGTTGGTCACGCCATGCTAATGTGATGTTTATAATGCTATAAGACGCCGATCGGAAATACACGACTGCTCACTGGGGACGATAATGATGGGTGAGAATGGTATACAGTGTGTGCCAATTTGATATGATGCAAATGTGTGTTATTTTCCGAGATTAATAAGAATCGATCTGAAACTATATCGCATGAACAATGTAAACATTGCTATGAACATGTGATGTGATAAAAGTAACCTTTCGAGACTATGATAGCGACAAGTTGTTCACTATCATTAATCCCGGAATAGAAAACGCACATTTTTCACATTTGCATATTTATCTGGCACGCACTGTATTTCGGGTTTTTTACTCATCCTTAACGTCCTCACTCTAATGTCAACTGTGGGAGATCCGCACCCAAAAAGGAGGGGTCAATACCAATCCTATCCTAAATCAACCCGAGCACAAGTCGTCCAAGCAGCTCGGGACGGCAACGCTTGGCGGGAAGTCGCCCGCGCGCTGGGGGTGAAGATAAGCACCGCTCGCACTTGGGTGAAGTCGGGCAGGACGAATTCCTTGGCGAAGGGCGGCAGAGTCGCCGAGCGAAGGCGGAAAATTTCTGAGTACGGAGATTTCATTTTTGAAGTGTTAAGAAGATCCCCCATTACTCGGTTCACGGAGATAGGAAGGCTGTTACGGCAGCGGTTTAATTTCGAGATAAGCCCGACTAGTATTTCGAGATATGTGAGGGAGGATGCGAAATTCCAGGAGGTGGGACAATCGTAACTTGGCAATATGAAATCAATGTGGAATTTTGTCTCGGCGTACTTGCAGAAGTTGCCCATGAGTTAGCGTAGAAACTTGGAACGAATGGGACCATTGTGCAGTGTCGGTATCGCATACTCAACACTCAAAGCTTAACCATATAAAACTTGGAAGCATAGCAAACTTCTTCCTGGTTACTACAGTTCAATCTCATGACCGCTTATGAGACTCTCGTTGAAGGAATATACTACATGCAGAGCATATGCTGCATATAGCATATAGCAGAGTATA